TATAAATATGGCTATTACATAGCCATATTTATTTATAGCATCTATGTACATTTTGTAAGGTGTGATCAAAGCAGATATAGAAGATGAGCTAAACAGAGGTAGGATATAATACGCATTAGCTTCCTCCTACTCCTTTTAGAAGGGGAAATGGTCAACATTTTTTTTTTATCCATGGGAATATAATGGCTTTCACTGATTTTGTGTGCATTTGTTTCAATGCGGATTAGATTAGATTGATTGATTAATTAACATATTCATTGTCTCACAACCCTCATAAAACATCTATATATATCAAGCACAGCTGGGCTATTTTCCCTGCAGATGTTTACTTGTGATGCTTGAAGTGGATTTTGCTGACACTTTTTCTTCTGCACTCTGAATGCATTTCCCCGTTAAACAGTATTTTTGCTTGATTGTACCACAATTGCTTAAGATGGCAAACATCCAATAAAAACAGCAGTACAGCACAATATAAGCTTTTTAAAATAAATAAATAAATAAATAAAAAGTCCAAGCGTTGTTTAGACTCCGTGGTCATGCTTATGTTGAAGGCTGAAATGCGCTGATCTCTTGTGTCCTTGCCTAAATGTTAATGTTCCCGTTTCAACTTGAGCTCTGTTGGAGTCTCTGAGGAGACTCAGAGCCTCCAACAGATGGTGCTAATCTCTCTCGCTCTCTCTCCGTCTCTGTCTCCCTCATCATCAAGAGTTGGGTGATAATTCGACAGTTATGTCATGAGGTGTACCCGCACCTCAATAAGCAGAGCTGTGATGTTCGCTGCTGCTGCAGACCTGTCCTCTCTGCGTCCCACAGTGTTTCCCACTCTACACGCTGACAGCCAAATGATTTCACTCAGCGTGTCCGTTTGAAGAGTTCATCGGGCGGTTGTCACATCGCTGGCAGCCTCTGTCTGTGCGTAGGCTGACACAAACTCACCTTCGAAATGCACCTGGATAGGTGAGAGGGGCGCGCGCGCGCGCACGGTCAAAATCACTTTTAAAGGAGCGCGTGTTTTATCTCCAGGAGTACACTCCTTTTTGGCAGATCACCCTCCGATGCAATTAATCCAGGAAGACGACTTCGCCAAGGGAGACTCAACGCCGACCACCGCAGCACTCCAGTCCGACGGCAGCGCCGGATCTCCGGCCAAAATGTGCAGTGAATGTTACGTGAATCAGTCATTTGTGAACGATGACGGGAGCGTGAACGACCACAAGCCACGGTAAGACAAGCAACAGCTCAGAGACTCCAACAAGTAGCCTGAACTGGCGAACTTCATCCATTATGTGATTGACGAGGATGAACTTAGATCCTGTATTCATATATATATATATACTATATAATATATAATATATATATACTATACATCATACGATAACCTATCCTATACATAACTATACGAGATATAACACTATATATTTTTTTTTTAAAGTATATTCACTTGCGGGTTAGTTTGGGATTTGATTCTAAAAAAAATATCAGGAAATTTGCCTGTTGAATAATGTGACTGATGTGACGTAAACGTGTTGCATTGTTTTTCTCATCCATACACAATCTGCTCATCCGTCATCACCTGTTTTGTGTCCAGCTGTTCACCGGTGTGCTGTCTCAGCTTTCAGTGTTGGCCTATAGATAACAGATTATCTGCAGCTCATATGAATCCATTACCAGGGCTGGTGATGCCTGGTTTGACCCGTGCACGCACATGCTTTCTTAAGAACATTTGGGATGATTTTTGGCCAAAACAAAAACCATCTTCTCTTAAAAAATGGATACTGAAGCCATACAGATATATCACATGCATCCATACGTGCTGAACTATTTAAATGTAATAACACATTTTTCATGTCTTCACTTATCTTATGAGAGCTGAATGGTGAACTTTACTCCTGGGTTGTATTTGCTTAGATGGATGAGTTAAACAAAATCACAGTATCAAAATCAAAACATCCCCTTCATCAATCATGCATTAAGTTTGACAAGGTTAATGGAGGACCAAAGCTGACAGACACAGTGATGGAGATTCTGTTTTGTGCAATTCTAAGAGCCTGAAAACGTTATTCGTCTTCACACCAAACCACGTTCACTTGCATTAATAACTACCCTGCAATGAGTCATATTTTATCAAAGGATGCAATATTTTAATTATGGAGGTGATGTGCTGACCGGCGCTGATCATTTAACAAATATTAAAAGCAAGAGTGTAATCTCACAAAAGCATCCATCCATGCTGCGACAGCCACACAGTTAAAAATATTAAGGCATAAATAACGCCGCTCACTTCACTCTGGAGTTTCTAATTCATCTCATTTCTTCAAGCGACAGAATCAGTTCATCTTCCCACATCATCTTCTCCAGCAGTAAAGGTAAAATCCCACTATGCTGTACTTAACCTTTGCATGTTACTCAGGCTTTCGGGCTGCACATTAGAGAGATGTGTCTCAGCATCTGCAGCCATTCAGAAAAACACAGCAGCTGAAGATTTTTTACTTTCTTTCCCACTGGTTGAGATCAACTTTAATCCAAGTTATGAATCTATAGTGATTCATAATCATCATTCATAATATGAATGATGTGTGCTTGAAGCTGAGCCATATGTTGAACCTGGTGGTGAACAAAATACTCTTGGATATTTTGGAAAAGTGAAGTAATAGTACAAAAATGTAAAAAATGAACATGCCCTGAATTGAAAGAAGGCACTTTGATCCGTGTCTAAAAAGAAAGGGTATTTTTTTCCATTTCATGCAAGCATGTGTATACTCTGTTAATCTAAAGAAACAAACGCTTCTGTTAACAAAGTTAAATCCTATTAATAAAGTTGTGGAAAGTACTCAGGTCTGTCTTCCATGGTCTGTAAGCAGCACAGGAGCGACATAACCTTGAATGCATGCTAATTTCTGCTTTTAAGCCTGAATCATCACACAGCAGCAGCATTTTAGCCTGTCCCTGCTTCTGTCCCAGGATAGTGAAGAAGCCACAATGCATGGTGCTTCAGGTGAACATATGTTGGCTGGTTCTTCATTACACAAAGATTTTAGCTGCAAAGGTCATTGTGTGGGATTATCTTTACTAAAAATACAAAAATATAAACTTTACAGTACAATATAAAGTATTCATTAGGGGCATTATCCTTTTTGGTCTGATTTTCTGTAACTCCATACCCGGGCCCCGTCAACTGCACTTTTCCATCCCATGTTTACCTTCCTTGCCTCCTTTCCTTCTCCTTGTGCTTCTTGTTTCCTTTCAACATTGGCTCAACTGGCTTCCTTCACTTTTGCACAACTTTCTCTGCCTTCTGTTTCTTTACTTTTCTCCTGTCCCTCCCCCCAGCTCATCCCCAGCCCCACTCCAGACCAAAAACAGCAGCCGCAGTACTGGGGTTATCTTAGACATCTCTACTCTCAAGATGGAGCAGCTAGAGAGCGAGGTGCCTCCTCTGCCGCCCCGTTTCCGCTTCAGAGACCTTCTTCTTGGGGACCAAAGCTTCCCGAATGATGACAGGTAGGCAGGAAGCTCTGCTTATAACACACAAACATGGCTGAGACGTGGTGTTTGAGGTGGTCAGGAACCGAAAGAAGTAAGCTGAGAAGAAACTGTCAAACTTAAAATTTGTACAATTCTGACAGACGCATCAGCTCATAGACATATAACCTTTATAATGGGTGTTATAGGTAGACTAATATTTCAGCTGTCTATACACCAGTTTAGCAATTTCTCAACATTGAATTTAGCTTCGTATTTCAGGTAATTGTCTCTTAAATTCAGCACTTTTGCTGTTTGCCTATTACTTTTAACAAATTATTTTGACTATTGACCCTTAGCGGAGCTACCTGTGTTAGCTGTTTATTGCTTTTTACTCATCTAAGTTGAGCTGTTGCAACATTTATTTGTAACTCTTAGGTTTTGGTCATATATAATTAACTGTTTTGCTATTTGTAGTTTACTAATTTGAGTTATTTCAACATTTAGTTGTTACTTTAAGTATTATAAGTATTATAGCTAACATGCCGGCTTTTTATCCTTTCAATGCACCATTTCTTTACGTTTAGCAAACAGCTGTTTGCCCAATAAGATTGGCTATTGATCTCATTTTTGCTTTACTTTAGTGAATGATTAATGTTAGTTAGTTAACATTATTTGCTAACAAGCACTCTCTCAGCAAGCAAGTGTAACAGTTGAGTTAAACGGTGGATGTTTTTTTGTCAGAATCAGTTAGTTGTCCTACTTAGTTTTGTATCCCAAAGCAAGCAGCTGTAATCTTTAAACAAATGCTGCTTAATCCTCTTTAATGTGGACTATATGGGGGTAAATCTAATAATAAAGAAAAGAAGACCTTGGTTTCTTTTCGCACCATTTTGTGAAGATGAATCTACTATTACTAATAACTGTGGTAATAAATTGTCAGATTAATTGATGTTGGTCAGTAGCCTCTATAAAACGTTATGAAAGCATTAAGTGAAGTAGTGTAAAATGACGACATCTAAAAAAGAGCACACATCCATTATTCCCCCTGTTTTATTTTAAGTGGCTGCTGTTGTTGTTAATTTTTGACTCCAACTGTTTGAATTTTATGTAAGTTATTAGTGTTTTATTTGCAACAGCCCCAAGACATATACAGGGTGAAAAAAACAAGTAAATTGAATTGGATTAAATCTCATCACAGCTCTGTTGGTCGTCCGCGCATGTTGCTTTCACTTATCAAGCGTGCTGATTGCCAGACCTTTTTTTTTTATTTTATTCCTGACAAATACTGTTATTTGGAGTTTAATCCCACTTGATTCACCTCTTTGTAGTTGCTGAAAAGGCTTTGTTCATGGAGTGTTTACCAGTGTTTGCCCCCTCCAGACTTTAGCACGTAGGAGCGCAGTCTGAAGTGTTCTCTTTTTCCGGTCTAAGTGGCGTTTGTGTTTAAAAGGTGCCAGAAACGTAGCAGGATTTGCGGCGCTGTCCCTGGTGCTGAATAAGAGGGAGGTGCATGAGAAGCTGTGGAGCAGGTGTCTGTGTACGTATTTGAAGATTGAAGAAGTTTTACTTGAAACACATTTTTCTTTTCTGCGACAACATTGCGACCTAATTCACTGTCAGAATTGAAAATGAGATCTCTCCGTCTTTCTGTCTTTCCTCATCTTCTGCCTTCAGCGCTCTACTCAGCTGCAGCATCTGTGTGTGATGCTTCTGTTTTTCTGAGATCTGCTTCACTGGTTTCCATCCTGAGATTAAAAAACATTCTACTTTAGGGAATTTAGAGACCTTCTTCATTACTTTAAGCACAAACTCAAAGAATAAGAATTAGGCACTCTTTTTTCTGTTACAGCATAACGTTTTGAAGTGAATTGACGTTCATAATTTGGGTAAGTCAGCTAAAAAGCTAAAACGTCCTCGGGATGTTTATTCAGTGCATAATCGCGTGTTCTCCAGATGGACCGCTGGAGAGGTATGATCAGATGTAATTTTAGAAGTGATAACAGCAGCAGCAAGCATTTCAGACTGTAGAGCTGTTTGTAATATTTGTCATATCTGTTTTGTTTGATGAGGAATAACAACAAGCTCTGCCAATGCTTTTAGTCAAAGATGACCTTTTCTCCAGCTGTCCTCACAGCTATCCTCGTTTTCTCTTCGAGAAAGCTCCAAACCTTTCCAGCTCCTATTTAAATGGTTTCCCATCTTTTTTTCTGTTCTGTCCCTGCAAATGAGCGCATCTTCTGTCCTTAGGAGATAGTGTTGTTTATAGGGGACTGATGCTTCAGGTTAGCGTTCCAGTGGTCAAGTCAAGAGCTGTCTCTTGAAACCCCAAATGTCACCGGTCACATCTGTCCGGGGAATCATCCATCACTCAAAGGTTCCTTTCTAAAGGAATCAACACTCAGTAGTGGCAACATAATTTGCCACAACTGAGTCCAATTTCAAAAATATGTCTCAGTTTGCTACATGATCAATGTGTAAAACAACAGAAAAGGTCCACTGCCCAGACTGTCTTGTGTTATATTAAAGCTTGTTTTGTCTGTAGTAGAAAATATCTAAAGTAGATATTAATTGTTTATCTATTATGTAACTTTTGAAGTAGTATAAATGGCTATGATAAAGTTATTTGTTAATAGAAAAAGCTGTAAAACATGAAAATACTGTTAAACGTTCATGATCTATGCCCCCCTTTAGATTTTCCAAAGCCTTCCACTGAGCTGGATTGGAGTCTTTGCCAGACCAATTCTGGCCCCCGAGCCTTATGTTTGACTGCCCTGCCTTGACTATCCCCTACCTGATTTTTATCTAAACTTTGTGATCCTGAACACCATGATGTGTCTTACAGGCAGAGGCTGTGATGTAAGGGTGTTCACGTGCAACTCAGAAGCCACACTGAGTGGCTGTACTGGTGTGGGCGAAAGGGGGTTCAAGAGGGATGGCCTTTCCTCCTATTTTCAAAAGCACTGACTGCTGGGGGCAAGGTCATCTATAAATTAGTACTTCAGACATCGCAAATTTAGAGGAGACAAAGAGGTGGGAGACTGAAGGGAGGGTGACTGCCAGATCAGTCCTCTTGATTTTCCTTTCATCTGCACTGCCTGTTCATTTTTTTTTGTAAAAGTGCATCATCTTTCTGTTTTTGTCTCAATCCACCACATCCTGCAGAGCAAAGCGAGCGTCATCACCAACTTGTGTTTAGCATGATCAGACAGAAGAACAGACGGTAAGGCGGCACATTCATTGAGACTGTACGAGCTCCGAGTCATGAAAACTTCCTTCCAACAGGCTGAGGGTAGTCTGCTGACATGCTGCTGATGCCAACAGCAAATTAAAACAAATCCGAGTTCATCTGACAATCTCTCTGATATGGCACAGTGAATGTTTACAGCTTTGTGCTGCTGGAGAGGACCATGCTGCAGCAGCAGCAGTTAGGGTTATTCCTGTCAAAGCAACGTTGCTGTGGCAACAGGCCCGCGCAAAGAAGGGAAAAAATAAAAAATAAAAACGAGCTGCGGGAATATATTTCTAAAAATACTCCAACAAGCATCTGAAAATAAAATATAAAAAAAACGCTTCGTCTATGGTTTCTTATTTTTATCTTCTTATCTTTATCGTGTCGTTTCATAAGTTAAAGCTAAAATCAGTTCATCCTCCGGCAGTGCTGCGCTGGTATTTTAGAGCTGCAGTGAGGCACGTTGGTCATCTGTAGGAATTCAAACTGGTTGCACGACGCAGCTACAGGTGTCCTGCACGATGGATCCGGAGATCCTCATCCCAACCTGGAGGTCGGACACGTTTGGTAGTGGTGACGCCGGGCAGAGGTAGGGCCACGCGGAGAGGAGAATTTACCCTCCGAAGTGCGCACGATGTCCAAATGTTAATGGAAGTGGATGCGCCGGTAAAGAGGCGGGAGAATAATGCTGTCCACGGCTTTTTTCCCCCCTTCTCTTTGCTGTGAATTATTATTTTCAGGCGGGAAGAGTCGTAGTTATTACGTATTAGGAGTTATTAGGAGATAAGCAGGAGTTTGATAAGAGGTGGAAAAATAAACAAACAAAAAAAACCTTCCTATTTATTTATTTATAGGGGCCAGGATCAGAAAGTCATTTCTTCTTTACGCATCGACACTTCTGCTATTATAGAAAGTTTAAACGGTATCGTAAGGTCGCTATTGTGGATTATTATGTTCTCAGTTACTCCTGTACTTCTTTTGTTCAAGTGTGAAAACCCCCACTCGCGAATTTGCAAGGTGACTATTTAAAGTAGTCGAAAACGGAAAGGTCTTCAGTCACGAAAACGCGCAAATGTTGACTGCTGAGACGCACATGAACTGAATCTTTGTACATTTTGTTTCAGTCGTACCAATAATTGATTTGTTTTAGCGGTAATTTAAAAGTCAGCTTAGTGTCACATAAATGAGAAGAAAAAACAAATTAACTGAAAGTTTGTAAGATTTTTGGGACTTTTTGCTTGAGGACTTTTTACATATATATTAATCCATATATTTTCTGTCAATTGATGAATGGGCTTTTTGGATTGGAAGCAACAGGTCTATGCTGTTATTGATGAACCCCTCGAGCTGCATTGATTTAATGAAAGCGAGGCAATGATCACACACACACACTCACACTTGCTGAGCCACAAGCAGGCGTTTAAAAAGATCTAATTGGTCACAGAAGTGTGCGTCTTGTTGCCTGAAACTCCGACGTGACACTGCAGTATGACTAATATCAGACCTCTTCAGTTCGTAATTGTGTGCTCAACAGGAGCTGATTAAGGGCCATTACTTGTACCCATTAGGCCTATGTATGCGTGGGAGGGTATAAGGACGCGATAGACAGACAGACAGACAGACAGACACAGACAGAGATCAATCTGTAGGACTCTCATATACGACAGCACAGCCTCTCATTTGAAGTGTTTCTGCCTCCAGAGCCCATTTCTGTCCCGCTGCTGGCCCCATGTTACAGATGTTTTTAGTTCTCATCGCAGAGCGGTTCTCTCAGTTTTTTTTCACTGAAGGGTTTCCATCACTGTGATGTAGTTTTTGTGATGTAGTGTCGTGAAGAACTGTAATAGCCATTTTAGTGCCGCATCCAACAACCCACACCGCCCTTTCCCTTCCACTGTGATCCTTTCAGCCACAAGCCAAAACTTGAGATTAATGGAGCATCAGTGAAGCGTTGCAGTTTTTCACCCTTTCTGAAATCCTGCTAATCTCTCTCATGCCTTCCTTTTCATACCTTCCCATGCCCATGCATCAGAAAATAGTACTGCAAAGACAGCACTGAAATTCTCTTTCATTCATAGCGATCAAATGAGTTTTTGCACTTTCTCTCTTTTTGCCACACAGCAAGAAGCTTGTTTTTAAACCTCCTGGTTCACTGTTGTTTTCTTTACCTGTGTGGGTTTCCCCTGGTGTTCTGGTTTTCTCTTTCAGTCCAAAAACATGCTTGTTAAGTTAATTTGTGATTTTAAATTGGATGGACATGTGGATGTGAGAGTGTGTGGTGATTGCCTTTCTTTCTGTGTTAGCCCTGTAATAGTTTGTGCTGTCCTCGGTTCTTCCCATCTTTCAGCCCGTGTCAGCTCAGCTAAGATCCAGCCCCTTACAAGAGAGATTCTTTTTCCCAAGGAATCTCTCCTAATCCCAGCTAGTTTGGATTTAGCATAATTTGATGAGGTATACAGCGCTGTGCAAAAGTCTTGAGTCACTCTTCATTTCCTAATACTTTACTAGGAAAATGAGAAACAGATGCAGTGATTTATTGAGTTGTGCAAACATAGATGGAAATAAGGTAAATGAGATAAAACAGAGTTGGTAGAATTCTAACAAAAGTCAATATTTGGTTTGACCACCTTTAACTTCAGCACAGCCTCAACTCGCTTAGCCTAGCCTTCTTGTCATTTCTTTATGTAGTCTTCAGAAATAGTTCTCCAGGCTTCTTGGAGGACATTCAAAGCTCTTTTATGGATATTGGCCACCTTTTGTTCCCTTCTCTGTCAATATGATTCCACACTGCTTCAATAATGTTGAGGCCAGGATAGGACGAGGCCAATTCTCAGCAGATCCTGGTGTGTTTTAGTTTTCACTGTGTGGTATGATTTTACTGAACTGTGTTTGGGATTATCACCTCGCTGAAAAATGAAGCTATTGCCAAACAGCTTCCTTAAGAATGTCTTCTTGACAGCCATCCTTGTACTGAGACCATTTCTGATAAGGTTTCATTGGATAATTGGAAGATGGATAACTGGAAGGGCTAGATGCAACTCCCAGGTCTTTTGTCAGGTCTTTGCTGGATTTACCCTCCCTATTTCTGACTTTAAAATACTGTTCATCTGTTATAGGTACTTCATTAGACCTGCCACTTCTGATTTTATCCTCAGCTATCCTGGACTTGACTGTCCAGTTTCTTCAAACCTTGTTTCCTCTGCAACACGTTTCCTCAGATATATACCAAGTGTTTAGCTAAGAGCTCTCTGGGAATCACCTTGTTGCTTCTGGTATGTGTAGGCACAATGTGAATTAGTGAAAAAACAGCAAGAAAAACTTTGAAAGACCTTCAGAAAGTCTGGTGAACCTTTCCTCAAGACAACCTTAAAGAAGTTGTAAGTCTCCCTCCTTCAAAGAGAAATATAAGAAAATAGGAGTGACTCAGAACTTTTGCACAGTACTATATTGACTCAAGCATCTCACCAGCTGGCACGAGTAATAAGCCAAGCGATACAGTAGCAACAGCACAGGCAGTCAGTTGTTGGCAACAGGGTCTTACATTTGAAGTGTCTTCTTTTTGGGAGTTTTCATGTTCTCATTGTGCCCGTGTTGTTTTTCCTTGGGAGTCACGACAGTTTGAAAAAAATGTCACAGGCACTCAAACTAGATTGGACCTCCACATCAAAACCTGATGGATGGGCTGATGCTGTCACAGGGATGCAGGAGGATCAGTCTTTGACAGCTTTGAGAGTGCACAAACGCAGCTGTGTGGGGAGATGCAGTGATTTCTAATTTAGCATAAATATGAGCAGCAACAGGATTAGGATGAGAGATACTGAAAATGTTACTGAGGCATACCAGAATAAAAATGAATCTCCTCACACTCAAGATATTTTCTCAATAACCACAGTTAATTTGTAAAGGAGTCACTGATGAATATACATTTTCATCTTCATTATATCATTCTTAATAGCAAATACAAACGGGTGTGCACAATGTCTCGCACAACATGTGTAATCCTTCTGTGGGATGGTGCAGAAACAAATCTAATATTCATTTATGCACAAGCGCGTCTTTTCATTCCATTTCTGGATGTTGGATTTCTCATCATAAAACATGCTTTGGTCTTATATGGAAATCTAGCAATGCCACTGATAGATGTCACTGACACAGTGATATCTGCATAAACTGTTCCCATCTACTATATGACCTTTTTAATGATGATATCAGAGGAATAGAAAAAAAAGGCTCTGTTCTCTTCTCTTCTCCTTTTAAAATATGAATATTGTTGTCTTGCATACAAAAAATGTGCAAAAATATTTACCTTCGTCTCTTTTAACTTCACTCCTGGCTAAAATGATGCTCCACTCTAGCAGCTGCTCTTTGGTTTCTTCAGTTGAAACTGCGTGGCCTACAGGAGTCCTGTCATGTAATTGGAAACTAAATCAGACACAGATAATTACATAACTCTCCTCAGGCAGATAATTACAAAAACAGCATTATGAATATTCATGCTGTATTAAGGTCGTCGTTTTGAAAAACATCTTCGTATCTCTGTTAATGCTGCTGATTCTTGTGTGACTGTCTCTCTCCCTCTCTTACCTGTTAGGGTGCAGGTAGAGTTTTATGTGAACGAAAACACTTTCAAGGAGCGCCTGAAGCTTTTCTTCATCAAAAACCAAAGATCAAGTAAGTGGATGGTGCCGGCCACCATCTCATGTTCTTACGCTGAGTGCTGCTTAATTGAAAGGGCACATTAAAGGGCAACGTGACAAAAGCAAACCCAGAAAGCTGTGCATAATAAGACCCAAATGTGTAAAGAAGGGGAAATAATGATTGAATATGTACATTTGCTGACTTCTAAAGAACAGTTTAAAATTTTCATGGTAGTTATATATTAATTTTAATATCAATTAAAAATCCAGAAAAGACTCATTATATGAAGAATTGTGAATTGATTTGTATGTCACTGAGTGAAATAAGTATTTGATCCTCTACAACCCAGCCAGAATTATTCTGATTCCTGCAGATTGGTAGTATGTGTCAATTGCAATCAATCAAAAAATCAGCCAAGCAATTAGAGATGGTCTTGATCTCAAGTCATTATGTGTATAAAGCACACCTGCCCACAGAATCTGTTTCATCCATTCCAACTGCTCCACCACCATGGGCAAGACCAAAGATCTGCCAAAGGACATCAGGGATGAGATTGTAGACCTGCACAAGGCTGGAATGGGCTACAGTTGTTGGTGTGATTATTCAGAAATGGAAGAAATATAAAATGACCATCAGTCGCCTTCAGTCTGGAGCAAGATCTTGCCTCATAGGATGATCACGAGAAAGGTGGTGGATCACCCAAAACCACATGGGTGGAGCTTGATAATGATCTTAAGGCAGTTGAGGCCACAGTCACCAAGAACTCCACTGGTAACACACTACTACACTGTAAGGAATTGATATAGATTGATATGTTGCTGCACCTGCAATGTCCCCTGCTCAATTGGGCACATGTACAGGCCCATCTTAAGTTTGCCAGTGAACATCTAAATCAGCGGTCCCAACCCCTGGGTTTGGTGACGGGCCGCGAGAGTTGAGGCTCTGGTGTGGAATTTGTGGTTTTCAGGGTTTCTATCGTCAACTCGGTTTCCCTGGGTCTTTTCCCACGTTGTAGTTGTGTGTCTTATTTTGAATGAAATATTTAATAATAATATGATCCAAAGAACACAATCCCCACAGTCAAGCACAGAGGTGGAAACATTGTGCTTTGGGGCTGTTTGGGGCAATCCGATGATGGACACCTTCATCGGATTAATGGGGCAATGGACTGGGCAGTGTACCATAAAATCTCTTCTCTCAGCCAGAACACTGAAGATGGGTCTTCCAGCATGACAGTGACTTAAAACAAACCACAGAGCCAACAAAGGAGTGATTAAAGAAGAAACAAATTAAGGTGATGGAGTGGCTTAGCAAGTCTCCAAATCTCAGTCCTGGAGAAAATCTGTGGATGGAGCTGAACCTTTGAGTTGCCAAGCAGCAACCACGAAACCTAAAGGATTTAGAGAGTTTCTGTAAAGAGGAGTGGGCTAAAATTCCCCCTGAGATGTGTGAAACATGGTGACCAGCTACAAGAAACATATTGCCGCTGTGCTTTCCAACAAAAGTTTCTCCCCCAAGTATTAAGTTAGACTTTGCTTAAGAATCACTGACATGAAAATCAATGATATAATTCATGTAATTTGTTTTTTCTGGATTTTTGGTTGATATTTTGTCTCTCTCCAAAAAACTATAAAAATTACAAAAATATTTTAAAAATTAGAGACAAACTTACAAATTCAGCCCGGGATCAAATGATTATTTCCAACATTGTATGAGAACACCTGCGGAGAATCCCAGATGTTTTTTCCTTACCTGTCAGAGATTAATCTGAAGAAATGACACTGTGTTAAATACAGTTTAAACTTAAACACAGGAAAGCCTATGTACACACTGTCACAATAAATCTTATTTACAAATAAGATTTATTTATACAAATCTTATTTTCTTTTGCCTTCAGGCCTCAGGATTCGTGTGTTCAACTTTTCCCTGAAGCTGCTCACCTGTCTGCTGTACATCATCAGAGTGATGACAGACAACCCCGCTCAGAGCGCAGGCGCCAGCCACAGCGCTGCACAGCAAAACGCTCCCAGTGGCAACAACAAATGGTTTGTTTAAAATAAAGGTTTTCAGGTCAAGTCGAGGATTTTTATCAAGCACATTCTAACGCAATGTTATCACAACACTCTCAAAAAATGAAAAAAACAATTATAATGTTAAGATTTGTTATTCATTCATTGCAGTTGATTAATTCTTTAAAGGAAAGCAACAAAAAAAGGTGAAAAAGAAGCTAAACTGCAAATAAAATGCGGAGTACTGAGTACTGAATATAAGGTTACTGGTTAAGGTTGCTCTGCATATTATATGTAGGAGGACTGTTCCACAGGTCGGGATCATAATATCTATTTAGAAGCCCTGGAGTCTGCGTAATCACAGCAACAGCAGCCTCCTTTGGTGTCATTTAGATGACACAGCATGCTCATGTGCGATACTATATATAGGATACTGTATCTGTTGTACGCATCATAAGACCTAAATGTCACATACTATGATTTACTCATGAAAGTGGTCCCTTTCTCATTTTTTAAAAACCAAATTATTATGAATTGAATAAATATTATGTGTAAAACTGCCAATTCTAGAGCTGCTACACGCAAATGAGTGCAGACCTCCCAGTTTGCATCTGTTCATCTAGAGTCGCCTCTCAGTGACTCTAGATAAGTTTAGGCCAGTCAGTGGTGATCTGTAGAGGCAATGTCTCATTCCAGTGTCTGCCCCATCAACTTTTTGCTGTGCTTTATCTATCTGCTGTTGTGACCATGGATAACTGGTAATCAGAGTTTGATTCCACAGATAGTCACCTCAGAACAAGAAGCTCCTGGGCTTGACTCCACCAGCAGTGTGGGGCCTTTCTGTGTGGATTTTGCATGTTCCCTTTGTGCTTGCGATGGTTTCTCCCAGAATTAGTTTGGCTTACTCCCACAGTCCAAACATCAGGCATTTCAGTTTAATACTAATTCCAGTGATTCTAAATTGGCTGTAGGTGTGAGTATAAAAGTGTTTTGTTATATGAGAAATATAACAAAGGTTCAACTTTGATGACTGAAGATATGTCTTATAGGACCAATAGATAAAGCAAAGATTTGTTTATAGGACAGAACAGGAAGCCTTTTCTCTTTTCCATACAGCTATCTATGAGGAGCTGGCCAGCTCCTTTGGGTGGTTAACTTGATTAATTGGCTTGTTGTGTGCTTTAATTTTTACACAAATCAAATGATCATTAATAAATAAATGTATGTTTCATATTTAAGTTTTTAAAATTTTTAAAAAGTGTGAAAAGATCTAGCATTTTATTTTAATTCAGTATGAAGATTTAGGAACTCATACTTTGCTTTAATAAACTGACGTGTCTACGATCTAGTTCAGCTGCAGAAATCCTCCCATGTTCATGTTTCACTTCCTGCTATTTTGCTGCCTTCCTCCCTTACCATCATCACTACTCCACAGTGTCGACTGTCAGTGGAACGGTTCAGTGCAGGACAGAGAAATTAACTGGTAAGCAGCAAAAGGTGTGATTTCTTTCAGCTCTTTGTTTGGTCTGATACCTCATTTCTTCCATTCACCTTATTAGTTATTCTGGCAGGCCATCGGTGTTTTCATTATCGGATTTTCCCTTTTTATCAACATTTATGTAAAGAGATCCCTGCCAGCTTGGTCTTCTGTTTATCTCACGTTGTCACTGATGGTATAGACACCAATCATGTACAATTTTTCTTTGATTTGGAGGGAATTTGTTGTTAAATGTAGTACAATTGTCACTGTTGTGTGCTCTCTCTGTCAGGGAGTTGATCTTCTGGGTGGATAGGAAGCTTCCTGTCTGGGCCATTCAAGTGAGTCACAAGAGAAGAAAGAGCACATAAAGCAAAACTTTCAATGACTTTCACTGAGTTGCATAAACTTGTGTGTGTGTTTGCCGGCCTCATTGGCACAGCTGGTACAGTTTGCACCTTGTGAGTGTCTGTGTGCGTGCATGTGTGTGTCATTGTGACAAATTGTCCTGGAAACATCTTCTGTAAGTGGAACTACCACAAAGCCATTTTGAGTTCTCGGGCAGGTCTTTATCTGTCTGTCTGTCTGTCTCTCTGTATATCTGTCTGTCTGTCTGTCTGTGGACAGATTTCAACAGCATAGCGTCACAACCGTGCAAGATTCAAGATACTTTACAGGTGTGTAGTTGAAAATGATGGCCGATTTTTAAAGACGGGGGTTCTCCGACCCATGTGTACTCACACGATCAGGTAACAGTGTAGCAGTGACTACATGGGTCGTGTGTCAGAACATCAGCATATTGACAGGTGTTGCAACTGGCGTGATCCCATCTCTGCTTTCAATTGTGCTGTTGACCAAATATTTGACTGTCTAATGCAAACCATAAATGTCTGATCATCATGTGAAAACATGGTGAGCGTCATTCTTAGAAGATTATTTGTGACAACGCTGTTGTAAATAATTAAGTGTGTCTTATTTCCTGTTTTTGCACAGGTGATTGTGGCCATCATTAGTTTCCTGGAGACTATGTTACTAATGTATCTGAGTTACAAGGTAAGACAGAGTGTGCTAAAAAAAGCACTCTGGCTTCAAACATGATTAATGCATTCTGTACAATTAATCACTTACAATGTGCTAGATTGACAATCCATAAGTGGTGCAATTAGACCAAGTCATTTGTCAAGGCTACATTAAAGACAGACAGTAATTGCAGGATATGGCTGAGGTGAAGGAATAAGTGGTTTTGCAGGGTGACAGACAACAATGAATCTCTGCAGTGACTCACTGTCTTTTGTGTGCTTACAGATGAAAGTGTTAAAAGTCTGTGCCTGTTTTTACTTTTAGGGGAACATTTGGGAGCAGATATTCCAGGTGTCCTTTCTTCTAGAGATGATCAACACAGTTCCCTTCATCATTACGGTAAAAGTTTTACCATGACAACCCTGAAATGTGCTTTATTATGCAGAAGCACTCCATGAAAAATTAAGCACATCCTATGATTCAGAAGCTTGTGGAATCACTTTTAGCAGCAATAACTTTAATAGTTAGCAACCATTTTCTATATGATTATATCACTCTCTCACATTGATGTGGAGGAATTTTAGCCCACTCTCTTCTGCAACATTGCTTCAGTTCACTGAGTTTTGCAGTTTATTTATGCACAGCTCTTTTAATTCAATTCAGTTCAATTCCATATATTTATACAACACCAAATCACACAACAGTCGCCTCAAGGCGCTTTATATTGTAAGGTAGATCCTACAATAATACATACAGAGAAAAAGCCAACAATCATATGACCCCTATGAGCAAGCACTTTGGCAAAAGTGGAAAGGAAAAACTCCCTTTTAACAGGAAGAAACCTCTGGCAGAACCAGGCTCAGGTTTTGGTTTGACTGGAACAACAGAACACCCCATTTCTTTTATTTTTCAGCTTCTTTGTTATAGATTTGATGCTTTACTTGAGCTCATTGTCCTGTTAAACATGTGGCCTCTGGAATTATTGCTATACAGAGGAGTTTGTGGTTGATTCTAAGACTGCAAGGTCCCCAGCACATGTTGCTGCAAAATAAACAAATCGTCACCCCTCTACTGTGAGGATTTGATAGTTGGTATAAGGTGTTATGCTATGTCCACCTCTGGGAAGATTGGTTACTATCTTGAATGTTTTCCACTTTTGAAGAATCATTCTCATTGTATGAAGGATTGTATGCATTGTATAAATGATGGACGTAATACTCCCTCCCAGATTGATGAGCAGCAGCAGTTGCTTCTCAAAGATGGTTGCTGAGTTCTTTCGTCTTCCGTATTGTGTTAAAGCACACTGAATGCTCTGGACCAGCAAACTGCAAAAACATCTGCTCCTGTAATACCCTCATTAGGTGTACTCACGCATAATGATGGTCTCTTAATCAGCACCTGGCTGCTACTTAACCTCTTAGGTCCGATTGGTAGGGTGTACTGGATTTTTTTACACACTCTTCTGCTTAGGTTTACTGTCATGTTGTTGTTACTCCAAATGTATTTATCTGTTCTTAAGATAATGTTTTTTTTTTATTATATTAAGATAGATAGAATCTAAAGAGGGTGTACTTTCTAATGGATGGCACCTTGATTTGTGGTGGCCAGATGGCCAGAAAAAAATAATCATTTCAAGCTCAGCAGAATTGTCTCTTTAAAGAAGTCTTGGCCTTGCTACTCTAAAAGATAAAACAAGTTTCATTAAGGACTAGTTTGTTTGTGCCAAACTACATTAATGTGCAGGACAAGTGTGCATCTGCCTGTCACAAGAGGGTCATCAACATTCAAATCATTGCCCTTGCTGTAATTAATGCTGCATGCTTGCTTTGATTAGCTCTTATATGAAAATGCTCAACTACAACAAGTACTAGAGAGGTAACACTGACATTTTGTGCAGATTGAGCTACATGGACAGAGAAGATAGAACTACAAACATCATAGCTGACTAAGACAGTGCAGAGTATTCCTCTTTAATGATTCTGGGTATAAAAACGTTACACAATAATACTTAAAAGTTTTAATTTTCACAGGTAGCACGTTTAAGCTGCAGACATATGACCCACTGCTGTGAGATTTTTATTGTTTGAGAAAACTCTGAAATGAAGTGTTTTCTACCTCTCCTCAGATTTTCTGGCCCTCGATAAGGAACATTTTCATTCCTGTGTTTCTCAACTGCTGGTTGGCCAAATGTGCTTTGGAGAATATGATCGTAAGTCAAAGCAGTTAACTGAATTTTGTCTATTAATGACCAGTTTTCAACAGCTTATTGATTTACTTCAGACATTTTAACTGCACTGATTTATAGAGGCCTTCGTACTCCCCGACATCCACACTGTAACAACAAAAAATCCTTCTTTGGTTCTGCTCTGTTTGTGCTGCACACAGGAGGGAGCTCATTAGGGATTATTTTCAGTGCTGTGTGCATTTTATCATGTTGCTCTGCAGACTGCAGTGGGGAGCATACAAGAGTAGAAGCATCTGCAACCGCTAAACGAATTCACAATTAAATGGAACAGGGGTAGACGCAGTGTCACTGATTATAAGCATTTGTATCCTTGGGAAACACAGTGGTCCAGTGGTAGTACTCACTGTCACCTCACAACAGGCAGGAGCTTAGTTCAAATCCAGACTGGTCCTATTGCATGCCTTCACTGTGTCTGCTTGGGTTTGCTCCAGGTATTCCAGCTTCCTCCCACAATCCAAAAAACAGGCATCGGGTTGGATTAATTAGAGATCCTAAATTGACTCTAGATGTGACCTATTATCTGTCTCTGTGTATTAACCCTACAACAGTGTACCCTCATCCTGTGACAGCTGTGATAGGCTTCAGCCTCCCCCTATAACTCTGAATTTGATAAGCAGAAGAAAATGAATAGGTTTTTAACTATAACTGCTGTATGTTGTTTATGGTAGAACGATGTCCATCGAGCGATCCAGAGGACCAACTCGGCCATGTTTAACCAGGTCCTCATTCTGATCTGCACCCTGCTCTGCCTCGTCTTCACTGGGTGAGCCTGCCTCTGCAGGGACTGTAAAACCATTCTGTTCAGAGTGGTGACATATTGTGCTTCTGTCTGTGTTTGCTAAAATGTGAAAGAACTGTGCAGATTTTTATTTATATTTTTAATAATTACTAAGCGATACTAAAAATGGTGATCCAGATAATTCCAAATATTATGGGAGCATAACTTTGACAGTGCTGTTTAGTTCAGTGCAGGGTAGTTAAACTCATAGACAGTACGTAAAACACAGATGTAACCATGATTATGTGAGCTGTTTATAAACTGTTGTTTTGAAGCCTGGAGCTGAGCATTTTCACCATCAGCGTCTTGGTTTTTGGAAACCAGAGGTGACAAGCAATGGTTGGCGCTGACTGAGAAATCGAGCGACTCTGTGCGCTCGTATGGTAGCGACCTGCCAATCACAAGGCAGGCGGACTCCAAAATATACCCTGCTTTATTTAACTCTGAATGGGGCCATAAAATTAAAAATATGAAAATCATGTCATACAGATGATTCAAAACTAGCAATTGAGATCATAATCATAATTATATTAATGAAGAAAACTGCAAAACAAACTAATAAAGTAAACAAATGGACTGATTTATCCATGTGTGGCTGATGCCATCACAGTGAGACAGCTGACGTCACATCTCCTGGCATCCACCGTGTTTTTGTGTTATTTCAGCTTGCTATATACTCTTGCTTTTTGTGACCTGGTAAATGTGACACCGTTGCCGCAGCCGAGTGCAAAACAAGCGTACGAGATCCCATTTCAGTGATATAGCCGTACAGGAACTTAGACGTTCTCAGATTATACAGTGGAGGTTGATGCAACAGCTTTAAAAGAAGAGAATTTACAGTGAAAACTTTGAAAAGCACCCACCAGCTTTGTGCTTTGATTTCTTCTACTCTATACCACTGGTTAAAGTATAATTGTAACGGTGAAGAGTGATCCAAACCATTTTTGCTAGCTGAGAAATGCTCAAAATGAATTAAAATATCAGTTATGAAGTCAAAATGACAAACAAAAGCTTAATGTTTATTTTTTATTAATATTTAAACAAACCTTTTAGTTGTTAATACAGCGTATTTATTTATCTATTCCTTGTGGCCTCTATGTCCAGGTTCATAACCAACCTACATGCTGTAGCTGTATATGCTGACTTTGTATTTGTTTGTATACAGCACGTGTGGGATTCAGCACCTGGAACGAGCAGGCAAAAACCTCTCCCTCTTCACTTCGTTCTACTTCTGCATTGTCACCTTCTCCACTGTGGGCTTCGGAGATGTGACTCCCCGCATATGGCCTTCCCAGTTACTGGTAGTCATCATGATCTGCGTGGCCCTGGTGGTGCTGCCTCTTCAGGTACAAAGATACTGAAATAATCTTTGGATCCGTTTACATTTCCTCGTGTGACCTCTGCATCGCTTGCTGCTTGTCAGTTTGAAGAGCTGATCTACCTGTGGATGGAGAGACAGAAGTCTGGGGGGAATTACAGCCGCCACAGAGCACAAACAGAGAAACATGTTGTGCTGTGTGTCAGCGCACTCAAAATAGACCTGCTCATGGACTTTCTCAATGAATTCTACGCTCATCCACGACTGCAGGTAACGACCGTTACATACACGTGCTCGAGGTTTACTTACAAGTGATAATGACTGACATGGTGTGTCTCCATTTACATAGAAATTCCTCTTTTGAGATACTGATGTGGTTCTTACATAATCTTCAAGGATTACTATGTGGTGATCCTGTGCCCAACTGAAATGGACCTCCAGGTGCGAAGGGTGCTGCAGATCCCTCTGTGGTCTCAAAGAGTCATCTATCTGCAAGGGTCTGTCCTCAAAGATCAGGATCTGCTTAGAGCCAAGTAAGTTACAGTTCCTATAACTAGATTATACTTTAACTGTGACTTTTTCCAATATATAATCCTGTGAAAAAAGAGACTCTTCACAGGACTGTTTGCAGTCCTGTTAGAAACTAATCACACCCTTCCCGCTTCCAATAGGAATTAAGAGGGTAAGTAACACTTAGCCCTGCTAATCAAATGTACTTGATTAACTGATCATCAGCAAGTTAGAACACCTCTACAAAATTTTGTCAGTTTGCTAATCTTAACACAATTAAAACAATGCAACAGCCTCAGGAGTCACACTGTGCAATTCTCAGAGAAACTGGACCCCAGAGCTACATCTCAGACTTTACAGGCTTCAGCTAGTATGTTAAATGTAAAGGTTTATGACAGTACAATGAGAAAAAGACTGAACAAGTCTGGCTTGTTTGGAAAGGAGAAAGCGACATAACAGCACAGCATAGCACAGCGGGTTTGCCAAGTTGCATCTGAACCACACGACTTCTGAAACAATGCCCTTTGCACAGATGAGACCAAATGTGAGGCCATCTGTCCGACAGCTAAAACTTGGGCTCAAACTGGGTCGTGCAACAGGACCAAGATCTCCAGACAAATCTACAATCTTGTTTATTATTTCCTTACGCCTGGTGCACTTTCTTTTGGTGTTATGGTTTCATGTCCCTCTTGTTTTCCCACACTGTTAGTTTATTGTCTCCTTAGTCCTGGTCTTTTATTTTGGGAACCTCTTGTCTCTTGTGTTTTGTATTCAATTCTGCTTCCCCTCTTTCATTATCTGTAATTAGTTTCAGCTGTTTTCCCACCTGTTGCCTGTTTCCATGTTATCCTGTGTTTGTATATAAAGCCTCAGTCTCCTTTTTGTCCTTTGTTGTATTTTTCCTAGTTCTATATTTCCCTTGAATACTAGAAGTTTTGGTTTTCTTGTTTTTAACTTGCATTATTTTGTACTTGGTGTAAGTTTAGCATTTTAGCCGCTTTTAAGTTTACCCATTGTCTTCCAAGTCCTGCTTTTTGCATCCATCTTCTGCCTGTTACACAGCTGCTTCTGACACAAATGCCAACAAACATCAATGAAATGAAGGAAAATTGCAGTCAATAACATTGATTAGGGACGTGGTAAAAGTTTGGAACACTGTCCATCATTTACTGAAATGCGCCATGTTGGTGCTCATTTTGTGGGAGACTAAAAATTGCTTTATTATATAAAATTTTACAATCATTGTGTAATCTTTACTGAGTTCGCAGAATAATATTAAAGCACAGAATGAATATTGGGAGGGGAGAGGATGGGAGTTGAGCTGTTGAAGCCCATATTATTAGTTAATGCAGTCCTTAGAAACCCACTATAAGTGGTTAAGTGTAAGTGTAAACATAGTCATAATAAAATACTGTTTTATTGTGTTTGCTTCACTGTGTTTGGCAAGGGAGAAAACATTTTGAGAAGAGGTCAGAGTGATGTGAGAATTTTATTTCTAAATAAATTCAATTGGGCCCCAAAGTATTTGTGCTTGACTTCAAAAGATTGCTACTAGAATGAAAATGAACAAATGGAAATACAGCTTGGATCAAATGCGTAGTTAAGATGTTAAGATAAATGTCAAACTTCCCATTACAAAGAATAACATAGATATTGAAAGAGAAAGTTGAAAAATGAAATGGTTTCAAGACTGACCTTTGTTGAAATTGTCTTTTCCCCCTTTTTTCTCAGTCAAATAGCTCTGTGTGCTGTTTTTTTCAGTTTGTTTGTCTTTCTTGGTTTCCTGTTGATTGGTTATGTTAAAAATATAATAATGTACTGGTGTCATATTCATAAAGACAGTTTTATGGATTCCTTTTATCATCTGACATCTGCACCTCATTTGTTTCCAATTAAATCATCTACAGTGGCTCCCAAAAGTTCATATTTCACATTCTGGGAAAGGTACTGATAATTCTTGCAAACTGTCAGTAGGACTTAAAAGACTATTGTCCTACCAATCCTTAATATTACCCTGATATTCTCTTCTTCTTTTCTTAGTAAATAGGCTTGTCAGAGCTATTGTTTGGCCTCATACTCAGACAACACTGTAATTATTCATTCAAGCTATACTCATTCCTTTTGAAAGTGAACCGATAGAGGGACTGCTCTTCTGAAGAAAGGCAACATAATCTGTCTCACATTCTTCTGATACTTTGGAGTTGTGAAAGATTCATGAGGGAGACTATGGAACATTGTAACAATGATGAAAGGCATAAAAACTTGTTGTCAATCTGTATGTCAAGTCAGGTTTATTTTTGTAGCCATAATGACATCTATGACTCAGTTGAATTTTATTTATGTCGTACCTCTCATACAAGTCCAATTTGACAAATATCCAGTATGCAGAGCTGCAGCCAAGCTTAAGCGATAAATCCAGGAATTTTGTACAGCGCATTACAGTTAGTTTGCATATTTGTGGTAATCGTATACAGTCTTGATTTATGTACGGCTGTTTGAAAAACTTCACAGGGATTCTTTCAGTAAAGTTGTGACAAAGGTGACAAAGACGAAGGTGTTCAATAGACAGAACCACACCAGGAACAGCCCAGATATACAGGGAGTGCAGAATTATTAGGCAAGTTGTGTTTTTGAGGAATAATTTTATTATTGAACAACAACCATGTTCTCAATGAACCCAAAAAACTCATTAATATCAAAGCTGAATGTTTTTGGAAGTAGTTTTTAGTTTGTTTTTAGTTTTAGCTATTTTAGGGGGATATCTGTGTGTGCAGGTGACTATTACTGTGCATAATTATTAGGCAACTTAACAAAAAACAAATATATACCCATTTCAATTATTTATTTTTACCAGTGAAACCAATATAACATCTCCACATTCACAAATATACATTTCTGACATTCAAAAACAAAACAAAAACAAATCAGCGACCAATATAGCCACCTTTCTTTGCAAGGACACTCAAAAGCCTGCCATCCATGGATTCTGTCAGTGTTTTGATCTGTTCACCATCAACATTGCGTGCAGCAGCAACCACAGCCTCCCAGACACTGTTCAGAGAGGTGTACTGTTTTCCCTCCTTGTAAATCTCACATTTGATGATGGACCACAGGTTCTCAATGGGGTTCAGATCAGGTGAACAAGGAGGCCATGTCATTAGTTTTTCTTCTTTTATACCCTTTCTTGCCAGCCACGCTGTGGAGTACTTGGACGCGTGTGATGGAGCATTGTCCTGCATGAAAATCATGTTTTTCTTGAAGGATGCAGACTTCTTCCTGTACCACTGCTTGAAGAAGGTGTCTTCCAGAAACTGGCAGTAGGACTGGGAGTTGAGCTTGACTCCATCCTCAACCCGAAAAGGCCCCACAAGCTCATCTTTGATGATACCAGCCCAAACCAGTACTCCACCTCCACCTTGCTGGCGTCTGAGTCGGACTGGAGCTCTCTGCCCTTTACCAATCCAGCCACGGGCCCATCCATCTGGCCCATCAAGACTCACTCTCATTTCATCAGTCCATAAAACCTTAGAAAAACCAGTCTTGAGATATTTCTTGGCCCAGTCTTGACGTTTCAGCTTGTGTGTCTTGTTCAGTGGTGGTCGTCTTTCAGCCTTTCTTACCTTGGCCATGTCTCTGAGTATTGCACACCTTGTGCTTTTGGGCACTCCAGTGATGTTGCAGCTCTGAAATATGGCCAAACTGGTGGCAAGTGGCATCTTGGCAGCTGCACGCTTGACTTTTCTCAGTTCATGGGCAGTTATTTTGCGCCTTGGTTTTTCCACACGCTTCTTGCGACCCTGTTGACTATTTTGAATGAAACGCTTGATTGTTCGATGATCACGCTTCAGAAGCTTTGCAATTTTGAGACTGCTGCATCCCTCTGCAAGATATCTCACTATTTTTGACTTTTCTGAGCCTGTCAAGTCCTTCTTTTGACCCATTTTGCCAAAGGAAAGGAAGTTGCCTAATAATTATGCACACCTGATATAGGGTGTTGATGTCATTAGACCACACCCCTTCTCATTACAGAGATGCACATCACCTAATATGCTTAATTGGTAGTAGGCTTTCGAGCCTATACAGCTTGGAGTAAGACAACATGCATGAAGAGGATGATGTGGACAAAATACTCATTTGCCTAATAATTCTGCACTCCCTGTAAAGTAAAGGATATAAAGAAATAATTATCTGGTGCTTTGCTTAATTTGTAAGTTTGCTTACCTCAAAAAAAGTCTTTGATTTTTATGGTAGTTTCATTTGAATTTTAATAGAGAGAATATCAAACAAAATCCAGAAAAAATACATTACATAGAAGTTAGAAACTGATTTGCATATGATTGAGTGAAATAAGTATTCGATCCTCAAGCAAAACATAACTTAGTACTTGGTACCCTTGTTTGCAACAGCAACAGCAAGATGTTTCTTGTAGTTGCAGACAGGAGGGATTTTGTTCCGCTCCTCCTTCCAGAAACTCTCTCCTTTATGTTTGTTGGCTGCTGCTTGGCAACTCAAAGCTTCAGCTGCCTCCACAGATTTTCTATAGGATTGAAGTCTGGAGACTGGCTAGGCCACTATATGAACTTAATGTGCTTCTTCTTTAGCCACGCCTCTGTTACCTTGGCAGTATGTTTTAGGTCAAGGTCATGGAAAAACAGCCCCAAAGTATTTTTCCAACTCTGTGCTTGACTGTGAGGATGACTTTGGGTCATACTTAGTATTAATCTTTCTTCAAAGTCTGAGTTGATGCTGAAGAGCTTGATTTAGGTTTCATGTGACCACAGCGCTCTCTCTGGATCATTTAGATGTTCACTGGCAAACTTAAGACAGGTCTGTACGTGTGCCTTCTTGGGCAGGGGGACCTTGCAGGCACTGCAAGATTTCAGTTTATCACAGCATAGTGTGTTACCAGTGGTGACTTCAGTTCAGTTTTATTTATATAGCGCCAAATTAAACAACAGCTGCCTCAAGGTACTTTATATTATAAGTTAAAGACTCCGCAATAATACCAGGAAAACAGAGAAAACCCTAACAATCATATAATCCCCTATGAGCGAGCGCTTTGCTGACAGTTGGAAGGAAAAACTACCTTTTAACAGGAAGAAACCTCCAGAACCAGGCTCTGGGAGGGGCGGGGCCATCTGCCGCGACCAGTTGGGGATGAGGGAAGGAAAACAGGTCTCCTGTTATTGTGAGGGGAGGAAGAGAAGTTATATATATATTTTTTTCCATTTCTAAATCACATCAACAGTTGTTACCTTCTCACCAACCTTGTTGTCGTCTTGTAGTCCATTCTAGCCTTGTGCAGTTCTACAGTCTTATGCTTGATCTTCTTCGGCAGCTATTTGGTTTTGCGTGGTGGTGGAGAAGTGGGAATGGATAAAACTGATTTTATAGACAGGTTGAATAGGTTCAATTATTTATTTCAGTTAAAATTATGCATATCAATCTGCAACTTTTATGTAATGTGTTTTCCTCCATTAAAAGTAAAGAACCATAAGAATTAGAGAGCAAATTCAGGGGATCCCCCACCATAGCTGCCATCTTTGAAAACATTTTATTAATAATTAATAATAATAATTAATAACTGTAAACATAAACACACCCTGGCACTTCTCAGTCCTGTGCTGACTGTACAGCTGTACCATACGGCATGTCCTAACTTTATTCAAATCAAAATTACATTGATGTAATGGATTGTGTAAATTCACTGTATACATTTGGCAGGTTTCTGACAGAGCAATTAGAAGTCGAGGACTGGGCGTGTAGAGCTTATATTCTGCATCTGGCACTGTTTCAAATCCTCCCACACTTTGTTTTGCATTCTGCACTCTCCTGGCTCTGTTAATCATATGCAAAATCAGTTCCATATTCTCAGCACCTTCAGTATACAGTATATATTATTTCAGCTTGTTTTGTCTGCCTGCAAGCGAGCAATGCTAATCTGAAAATTCAATCAAAGATTGTTGTTGTCTCGCCTCACTGTTATCATTTCAGCTTTGTCTTTTGTGGATTGTATTTTCTCTGCCGCTGTTTTGTTTTTTTGTGTAACATGACATTTAATAATTTGTCAATTTTGTCACAATTCTGCAGAATGGATGATGCAGAGGCTTGTTTCATATTGAGCAGCCGTAACGAGGTGGATCGCATGGCTGCAGTAAGACAAAAAATAACAACTGACAAATTATGAACTGTGCTGTAATTCTGATTTATGAGTTTTCAGAAATTAATGCTGTCTGTCACAGAGACAGCTGCATAATTTTTGTTGTTTACCCCCTCAGGACCATCAGACCATCCTGAGAGCTTGGGCAGTGAAAGACTTTGCTCCAAATTGTCCCCTATATGTCCAGATACTCAAACCTGAAAATAAGTTCCATGTTAAATTTGCAGGTGAGAGTTTCTAAATGAAATAATGAAGCAATCACGCAAATACATGTTCAGTCAAGTCAGTAACTTTTTGGACAAACTTTTTGTTGTTTTGTAATTTTGCCTCTGTACATCATCATGGTGGATTTAAATGTAAACAGTTAAGGTCGACTGAAGCTGAGAGTTTTTATCCGCTTTATTTGATATGGAATAATGAGGGGAGAGGCCTCACCTGACCATGAAGCTGTTTATCAGTCCAATGACCTTTGGACATCTGGCTAAATAGGAACTATATATAAAAATGGCTGTAATTCCTAAACAGCTAGTGCAACACTTTTATTAAACCCTTTTATTCACCCCTTGAATTAAAGTCTGAACTTTAAATCAAAGCTTGATTGTGTGGTTTAAAATGCACTGTGGTGGTGTGCTCAGACAAAACAACAGAAATTATTTTTTTGCCCATAAAAAAAGCAAATGGGGAATTATTTTACAGCCCACTTCTTTCCCTTCATATACACTCATTGGTCACTTTATTTGGTATACCTGTTCAACATCTCGTTAGCACAAGCAGCTAATCAATCACATGGCAGCAACTTAGTGGATATAGGCATGTTTGGTTAAAGCGACGTGCTGAAGTTCAAAGTGAGCATCAGAATGGAGAAGAAAGCTGATTTAAGTGACTTTGAACATGACATGGTTGCCGGTGCCAGATGGGTGTTCTGAGTACTTCAGAAAAAAGAGGTCCAACCGAGTACTAGCTAGGTGTACATAATGAAATGGCCAGTGAGTCTATTTACCAGTAGCTTTTGTTGAGTTTGTGGTAATCAGACATTTATAAACCTTCCAGTTTGCTCTTTTACACCTAACAACTGCCCATACAGTTAGCTATTTCAGGTTTAAATGTCAGGCTAAAGCCAAGAGTAGATTAGCTTAGCTCGGCATAAATGTGTAACTCCCCATAACACCAGCATGTACTGTAAAAATGAATGAGATTGTGATTTAGCAAGAATTTGGGGAGTTAAGTGTATTTGTTAACAAATACAAATCTGTAAGACAGCTCTGATTGTGCACACAAGTAAATGCACACATGACCTTGGCTAAGCCTTATCATATACTTGCCTTTGCAGTGATGATGGGGCTGATACAACTTTGTACAGTGACACATAATATAATCACCCCATTATAACATTAGTGCAAGTTGTAGAGTACTGTGAGTAGTTCTCAGCCAGCTCTGCTGATCAACTATTTTCTTCATTTTCAGATCATGTTGTTTGCGAGGAAGAGTTCAAGTACGCCATGCTGGCTCTCAACTGTGTTTGCCCTGCCACCTCCACTTTGGTCACACTCCTTGTACACACTTCCCGTGGACGGTCAGTTCTTCTACAAAACCTCCTCAGGCTGTTTGATTACTCCTTAGTGAGACTGCAAAGTTCAAATTTCTTCACATTTTCATGTCTGCTGATGCATAAATAGGGCCCATGGAGCTGCCACAGAGAGGTGAGAAAGCCAAGCCAAAGACAAAAGTCCCAGCTCATTGTGAAGCTCAGCAGGATGTAGGAGAGAGTGCACCAAAAGAGAGAACAGCCGCCACCGAGATTGATTTTTTTAGCATGTGTTTCCTTTGTAGCGCCGTATGAAAAGCACTCCAGTGGAAAATGATTTTTTCACAGCATGCAAACAGATCTCGCTTAAAAGCTGATTTCAGTGCTCAAGGGAAACGGCATTAATGAAGAATAAATAGGCTTTAGTTAGTGCTTGCTGTGTTCCTGTCAACCCTTCAGAAAAAAAAAAGCTTTGTGTATTTTCTATTCTAAATTTTTAAAATTGCAGACATTTTCCACACAAGTGTAACAATATGTACCTGAACGTACCGTATTCCATTCTGCATGTTTCCTTCGCTTGTGTGGGCGTTTTGTGTGAAACGCTAGGTTTTAGTGACATGCAGCTCATCATGGCGCTGCAGTGGGAAATAAAAGGGGATCAGGAGTTACCAATCGTCACGAGCAAGTTATTTTTCCTTTTACTCAGAAATATGAAAGTTAGAGTGAGAAATCCAATTTACATGTCTTCTTATGCAAATATTAATAACTACTAAGAAGCAAGTCTGTAAACCACCACCTTGGGGTTGTTCTGAGCATCTCTCACAGCCCATTAAACTCCATCAAAGCACTTGAACAATTACAGTAATAACCGGAAGTCATTACAAAGGGCATATTAGCACAAAACTGCCTGACTGACACAGATAAATTAAGCTGCCTGCTTTCGCCAGGAGACTTTTGAGACCCCAAGGGTCTAGAGGTAGGTGTGCAGCAAAGAAGAGAGTTTTTCTTTCACAACTGATGATTATCACTGATACTGAATAGACTGAATAGGTTTACGTGTTAAATTTACCCATCCGTCTGTATTTCCTCTGAATGATTCCAGAGAAGGACAGCAATCCCCGGAGCAATGGCAGAGGATGTATGGATGTTGCTCCGGCAACGAGGTCTACCACATCAAAGTGTGTGACAGCAAGTTCTTTGGAGAGTACAATGGCAAAAGCTTCACATATGCCTCCTTTCATGCTCACAAGAAGTGAGTAGCTTTGTAAGCAAACGCATCTCCCTCAGAGATTAAAATGTTTGCTTGTCTGTTTAGCTTAGTGTTACACAGCATTAAGTGCTTCAGCAGTGCTTTTCTGGTGAAAGTCATATTCTGTGTGCCGCAGACTACAAAAACACTGGTTTTAATTCCATGCATGTTTAGATAACACTTCTGCTCTTGTTTGAAGAAAAAGCTGTGCCAAATACTGTCTTGCCTAGAATTATAAAAGGAAGTTCATATCATCCTTATATCCGTCCTTAAAGCATAAAGCTACTAGCATCAATCAGTTAGCTAATCATGGCTTGAAAACCGGAAATAAGTAGAGCCGTTAGCTTGTCTCTGTCCATAATCTCTGGCTATAATCTGGCATATTTACATTTGTTAAAATGTTCATTAATGTGTATTGCCCCACTTTCTAAATAAAGTAAAATTACACTAAATTAAATTAACACAGTTCATCACTGTACACTAAACAACATCACTGAAAAACTACCCAGTCTAACCTGCTCTTACTATCTTTTTTAGTAAAATGGACTGAAACATTCAATTTGAAATTATGTGCTACTTTTAAAAAATTACTCTGCTTATGCTTGCTCCACTTACCAAGTACCACAAACACAACTTCTTATCTGAACCATGAGCGCATTGCAGGGATGAAATGAAAAAAAGGATACATGCAGGCGGGGTCATCTGTTGACTTAACTCCCTCAGTGGCATCAGTTAAAAGGAGAACCACAATGCAGCTCGTAAAAACAGATGTTGCTTGACAGTATTTTGTGCAACTACCACTCAGATGTAACAACTCGTTAACTGTAGATGCCATTCTGGATTGTTCCAACCTCCTTCAACCCCTGGATAAGGAGCATGTGGCTGTGCCTATGGTGTTTGGACATGACATAAGAATCATACTGATGCTCCATCAAAATAGGACGTAAGAAGCTCCACTTTGGGGGTTTTCTTGTGTTCCCATGTCTTTCATGTACAGTCTAGTAGTCGCTTTGTCCTGCTGGAAGAGTCCACTGCCATCAGGGAGAGGTATTAGTGTTGTGTTCAAACTAAAATCTACTATTCATCGGGTTCTAAGAGAGAACGGCATATCATATTAGCAACTGAACTAGCTGCAAAACAATATCAGTCAGATGATCTTTTGTGGGATTGTATCAGGTTATCAAGGAAAGCTCAGTATTTCTTAACACCTGTTTTGTATAATTTTAGCAAAGTGCTATAATGAAAATTTATTTGATATAGGAATAACAAGTACATTTAATATGCATGGAGGTTAATTATTAATCTTGGAGCTCTCATTAAGATGCAAATTAAAGTTTTTCTTTTTTTCATGCTGTAAAATATAATTAGCTAATAATACCTCAAACTTATACCTCTTTGATGACATCTCTGATAAGATATATCTGTTTAGATGAGAAAGAATGAGCAGAAACACCAACAAATATGCTTTAAGATTGCAAATCTTATTAAAGCTCTTAATAGCTTTTAAGCAATTAAAAGACTTACTACTGAATTTTCAGTTTTAATTTGAAGTTTCTGTGCTCATCCAATCTGAAAATCTAGTCTTTAAACTTACAAGTAGAACTGCTCTTTTTCTTTTGTCCTCAGTCTTCCATCAAGCAGGTCGTTCAGGCGCTTTAGTCTAACGGCAGGTATGTGATCCCCAGGTATGGTGTTTGTCTGATTGGTATAAAGAGGGAAGACAACAAGAGCATCCTGTTAAACCCTGGGCCACGCCACATCATGGCTTCTACAGACACATGCTACTACATCAACATCACCAAGGAGGAAAACTCAGCCTTCATCTTCAACCAGGAGGAGAAGAAGGGTGGTCCTGCTGGGGGACTCTTTGATGGGCCTTCACAGCTTCCTGTCCACAGCATCATTGCCAGCATGGGTGAGAAAGAAAACAAACTAATCACGTTCGATCAATCTTAGGACTGGGATTCATATGAACGAGAATGGATGTATTTACAGGTACGGTTGCCATGGATCTTCAGAATACAACCCCTCCTGACGCCCCAGTAGGTAAACTGGTCCCACCTACAGTAAATGGAACTGGAAGTCGTAGGCCGAGCATTGCTCCGGTTCAGGAATTAGCAGACTCTGCCTCAATCTTGCCATGTGACCTGCTAAGTGACCAATCAGAAGATGACTCGGTCTTCACAGATGAAAAAGGCCACTCATCTACAGAGTAAGGATTCTGGTTTTCTGTGCACGTGAAAACACACACAGTTTAATACCACCAGTCTATTTTCTTAACTTCTTGTCCAGTTCGGGGTAGTGGGAAGACTGGAGTCTAAACCAGCTCTCATAGAGGGAAAGGCAGGTCACACCCTGCCAGACAAACATAGTTGTATTAAACATTAAGATTGTCTTAATTTGCACATGGATGTATGCCTTGTATTCAGAATGCTGGCAGGAATTAAACGTGTATTTTATGTCACCATGGCTGAAGTTCATGTTGTTCTCAGAGAGCCAGCCATTCACTCTCACATCTTTGAGAATTACCAGCTGACAGGGAGGACATAAAAACACACACAAAAAGGTGGCAGATGGTAACTGGATTCAAAACCAGGACTCTCTTGCTGTGAAAATGCACGTTAAAGCCATTAACTGTATCTAAAAGATGGACATAGCCTCTGTGTTCATAGTGTTTATGTATCTTTTTTGAATCTACGTTGTTTTTACTGGACAGCAAGGTTCAAAATATCTGGCTTCACAATTAAAAGGTATTGAAGTCTATGAGCCCATTGCTCATTTTATTTATAACTTCAGTTAACAACTTCGTAATGATTATGGTCTTAGTCACTGCCACTGATGTTTGTTTTGTAAAATATGACACAGTTTTAGATGGTAGCGACTTCCATCTATTATATACAGTCTATTCTTAAACCTATTTACAAGGCCAAGTTGAAACCACACCTAAAGAAACTGATTTTTTTTAAAAACAGCAGGGAGTATTATTAGCGAGTATTATTACTCGTTAGTTATTAGGCTTAAATTTTTTTCAGATAGAACATAATATCCTGTAATCTTATATTTTTGCAGTCACTTTAAGTTTGCATTCTTGTTTAAGTTCACAACATGAACTTTAGCATGCTGGCATGGGTTCATGTTGTTCTTGTTCAGCTTGAACAAGAACAACATGAACTTCAGCCATGGTGACATAAAATACACATTTAATATATGCCAGCATTCTGAATACCAGGCATACATCCATGTGCAAATTAAGACAAACTTAATGTTTAATACAACTATTTTCTTCACTGTTTTGTAGTATCCCGCCTATATATTATGCAAAAAAACAACAACCCTCAAACAAACAAACAATGTTTCTTACCTGTTAGATTTCTGTAGTGGCCCGTGCTAATGTGCTGTACATGTAATAAAGATACTCCTTCATATTTCCTTTTTTCTCTCCAAGTAACGGAGGCCAGTTTGGGTGTTTTTATTAAAAAATAAAGGAAAGGAAAGTCCTGTATGGTTTATGAAATGTGTCGTTCATGCTTTTTGGATTCGTTGCCAGGTATGTGAAAGGTTATCCCCCTAACTCTCCGTACATTGGGAGCTCGCCCACCCTTTGCCATCTGTTGGCTGAAAAAGCCCCGTTTTGCTGCCTACGTCTGGACCAGGTGGGCAGTCGATGTTCCTTCAACTTAGTCACTCAAATTACTTACTGCCTCAATCACTCCCTCTCTCCTCTCTCTGTCCTTCACTTCATAAAAGCAATCCTGAAATACCTCCATGTTTCTGAGTTTTTTCTGTCTTTGCAGGGGTGCAGGCACAACAGCTTTGAGGATGCCAAAGCGTATGGGTTTAAAAACAAGCTCATAATCGTTTCAGCCGAAACAGCAGGGAACGGTCTCTATAACTTCATAGTGCCTCTCAGAGCCTATTACAGACCCAGGAAAGAACTCAACCCTATTGTCTTGCTGTTGGATAACCCGTGAGTTCGCCCTCGCGGCGCGCACACACGCCTGCCACACGCCTTCCCTTTCTTCTCCCTTCACTCCATCCTTCACCGTTTCACACCGGGAAACATTATGTATGTTAAAAGCCTGCGTCAGCCGAGCACTTAGGACACGGCTGTGGAGGCGGGACTCCATTGTCAGCCCTGATGTTAGGTTAGTGCTGTACCGCTTGCAGTGACGGTGTGTTTTGAGTGACAAAGAAAATAAAAACGCTGCTCTCTGTACCTCCAGACGGTCACCATGGTAACTTGCTTTGCCTTGAACCTGAATGATTTAGATTGCTACAAGGGGAGGAAAAGATGGAGAAAATGATTTCTTTGGAGAGCACTACGCAGGCTTTCATCCACAGCCCTGATGTGTCCCTTTCAGCCCCCACATGCCAGCTCTCAGGACTCTCATGGAAACAGACAGATAACAATAACTCTCCGTTCATGCGGCGCTCTCTCTTTCTCTCTTCCTATTGGTGTCGCACGCATACAAATACAAACACCCACGCATTTACGACAGCCTTGGGTCTCTAGTCAGCAGGACTGGGCAGATGCATATGCAGTGACGTTCTGTCAGCAGCTAAATCTCTCTGAGTGGACTCATCCCTCAGCCTGAAGCCACTAACAGGGAATTAAAGCTACCATTTAAGTGCTTTGGGGAACTTGTGCTCACTGTTGCACATATTATAAGAGCATAGCAGCTACTATAGTCAAAAATCTTAATGCTTTCTACTTTAATAGACTTTATTTTGTGTTTGTCTTGTTTTTTTGAGGAGAAGTCAGGGCCATTTCATTTTGCCAGCTGAGATTTGAATGATCAAATGCTCAATATTTCAAATTTGGCCCATCTCATGTTGTTATAATTCATCGCTGCACATTAAACAAAATGACAAGAAATGGCATGTCTACAAGAAATACTATTCATTTTTTGTGTAGCTCTTTTTAACAGTGCAGCAGTTCAACACTCTTTACATAAGACAGAAAGATAAACATCATTAGTAACACTATATTTACATAATATCAGAAGTGTGGCTACACACAGCAAAATATTTAAAAAGTACTAGAGGAAGCCAACATGTTTTCAGAGAAAGGAAGCTTGGGCTACAACTTTTCTATGTTTGAATGATACACTTATCTCTTTAAAATCTGTTATATATTCATGTAATAAGGTTCATGGAAGCTAAATGCACCATATATACTTCCCTCAGGCCTGATAATCACTTCTTGGAGGCCATCTGCTGTTTCCCAATGGTCTACTACATGGCTGGATCCATAGACAAGTGAGAATGTCACATAATTTTCTGCTTTCATTTTCAGTTTTGATATTTATTACATTCACTTTTTTATATATTCTGCTTTTTTATTGTGTGTGTATATTTCAGTCTGGACAGCCTGCTCCAGTGTGGGATCATCTACGCCGATAACCTGGTCGTTGTGGATAAAGAGAGCACCATGAGCGCCGAGGAAGATTACATGGCTGATGCCAAAACTATTGTCAATGTGCAGACAATGTTCAGGTAAAGTGAGCATTTTTTCCAGTCGTTCATATATTATTCATGAACCGCAGTCAGTTTGTTATGAAATGATGCCTGAGCTTCTAATTCCTCTTTTTTTTTCTATCACTTTCTCCCACTCAAGGTTGTTTCCCAGTCTCAGTATAATCACAGAGCTTACTCACCCATCCAACATGAGATTCATGCAGTTCAGAGCGAAGGACTGCTACTCATACTCTCTCTCTAAGTTGGAAAAGGTAAAAACAGCATGAGGGAGCTTACGGTTAGTTGCCCTGTAGGCCTTTACAGATGCTTTGCTTTATGTGTGTCCTGTCTCTCCCCCACAGAAGGAGCGTGACAAAGGCTCCAACTTGGCCTTCATGTTTCGCCTACCCTTCGCTGCAGGCAGAGTCTTCAGTATCAGCATGCTGGACACCCTGCTCTACCAGGTTGGTACACACTTGCAGCGAAACGCGTAGTCTGAGGTGACTCTTTTTTAACACTAGGTGAAAGAAATGAGTAATGTCTGAATGATGGCTCATAGCAGCAGAAAAACAGCATCACCTGAAGATGGTGAGCAGTGTTACCATCATAAAGCACAAGTGCCCTCTTGTGTTCAGTGACTGATTAAAAGGTTTCCCGTTTTTTTTTTCTATTGCATTTATAGCTGTCATGGCTATGTGTATGTGTATGTATGAAGCGATACAAGTAATCTTCTGCTATTCTTTGTTAGTCTTTTGTGAAGGACTACATGATCCTTATTGCAAGACTGCTGCTGGGGCTGGATACCACCCCAGGATCAGGATACCTGTGTGCTGTGAGTGTGACAGAAGAACAGAATTAATGAAAAGAAAGAAGCACAGTGCAGCCCATATGCCCTAATAGTATATGCTATCATGTGCTGTTCTAGATGAAAGTAAAAGAGGAGGATCTGTGGATTGGCACTTACGGGAGACTGTTCCAGAAGCTCTGCTCCTCTAGTGCTGAAATTCCTATTGGGATCTATCGAACTGAGTCACACATTTTCTGCACTTCTGAGGTGAGATCTAAGCAAGATGTCAGGCTATCAATCTCCAGTCCAAGAACTTATTTATTAAATACACAAAAAACAAATGAATGTATGCAGTGATGTATTTCCATTGAGATCTCATTTTGGTGCTTGAGCAAAAACTAAAAACAGAAGAAAATGATTTACCTCAATGAATAATGGTCAGCCTCCCTTCTTTAAAGATGTGTAAATGTAACTTATTGTCTCGCCACCTTAGTCGCAGGTGTCAGTCAGCGTTGATGACTGCGAGGACACAAAGGATAAGGGGGACGAGTCTCGCAACAACGACCCATCCGATCACCCCCTGCTGAGGAAGAAGAGCATGCAGTGGGCTCGGCGTCTGAGTAAGAAAAGTGTGCGGTGGCAGGGGGCGAGCCGGGATTCGAGCAAAGAAAACGCCCAGCGCATTGCCCAGCAGCGCCTCAACCTCTACAGGCGCTCTGAGAGGGAAGAGCTGTCAGAACTGGTCCGCAACCGCATGAGGCACCTGGGCCTCCCCACATCTGGATATGGTAATGATAGACACGAGAAAACCGACAGCTCAGTACTTAATTGTTTTTAATCTAACTGCTGTTTGTGTACCTGTAGATGACCTGACAAATCTGACAGCCAGTGACGTCATGAACAGAGTTAATCTGGGTTACCTACAAGGTATTCAACTCATGATCCTGCAAATACAGTTTGATCACGGCATCGCCTTTTGTGCTTGACTGTGGTGATGTTTGTGTTTCAGATGAACAGAACGATCACCAAAATACTCTCTCCTATGTCCTTATTAACCCATCTCCTGACACTAGGCTGGAGCTCAATGATGTTGTGTAAGTTTTACTACTTTATGTTGCTGCGCTGTGTATTTCCCTTCCTCCACATCGATGTATTTCGATGTATTTACATGTCTGATGACATCAAATTATTCAACGGTGAGGGAAAAAGAAAAAAATGCCAGTAAGATATTAGTGCGCACTATAATTAAAATAAAGTGAATTGCCAATATTTTTATGTTATTAATGAATGAATGTGATTTGTAGAGCAAATCCATAAAAATGGCACATTAACTAATTGTTTTGGGTTTTACATGCTACAACTTTACATTTTTGTCAGTTTATTAGGCAACTAAGCTGTAAAGAGATAAAGACTTAGCTGGTTTTATAGTAGATTATGTTGCAACTAATGAGCAGACATCGAAAAGACTACTGGACTTAATTTTGTCTGGTGGCAAGAAGCACACCTCTTATGAATATAAATAAAAGAGGGGTAAATAAAGGTGATGTCAGTAAGTTGCGTCAATTGCCTTAAATTGTAAATTAAAGACGCTACAATAATAGAGAAAAAACTCCAACAATCAGACAACCCCCTATGAGCAAGCACTTGGTGACAGTGGGAAGGAAAAATTCCCTTTTAACAGGAAAAAACCTCTGGCAGAACCAGGCTCAGGGAAGGGCATGACCAATTAAGGCTAAGGTGTAGGGGGGCATGACAAAAGACATGCTGTGGAAGAGAGCGAGAGATGAATAATATCTAATTATTAGATACTGAGTGGTGTATAAACACTTAGACAGTGAAAAAAGGTGGTGAAGAAACACTCATGGGAAGCACCCGGCACTCTAGATCTGTTGCAGCGTAACTAAGGGAGGTTTCAGGGTCACCTGATTCAGCCCTAACTATATGCATTATCAAAAGGAAAGTTTTAATCATAATCTTAAAATTAGAGAGCGTGTCTGTCTCCTGAATCCAAACTGGAAGCTGGTTCCACAGATTAGGGGCCTGAAAGCTGAAGGATCTGCCTCCCATTTTACTTTTAAGTATCTTAGGAACCACCAGTAACTCCTAGAGCATTAGAGCAAAGCACTCTAATGGGTTGATATGATACAATGAGGCCTTTAAGATGTCCTGGTCCTTTCATTCTTCAGTGAGCTGAGTGAGTATGGAGCAGTTTTAATAATGAGCGAGATACATCAGCATTTCATTGCTTTCTGCTCTCTTTCTCCCACCCAGCTACTTGATTCGTTCGGACCCTCTGGCTCACGTCCCCGAAGAGCCTCCTGTCCACAGCAGCAGCCTGAAAGAGAGACACGAGTCCAGCATGGACACCAGAGAGGACACCCAGCTCTGATACCCTGCCAACCTTTATTGCTACACTCATTAACCCAGCTTCAGCTTCTGTGGGGGTCTCGCTGCATCCATGCGGGTCCAGTCTGAAAGAGGACAATTTGTGCTACAAAGTTTCAGCACCTGCAGTCTGCCACTGTATTATACGAGTGCCTAATGTTTGTCAGGTGACAGCTGATGTCATCAGTGACATTTTCATCCTCTTGCCACAAACTCTGTAAAAATAGTGTGTTGATATTTGTGAGAGCTCTTTTTAAATGAGCAGTCAGGGACATGCTTGTCACTGAAAGCTACAGAACTCTGGCGGTTTGGTTTGAAGTATCGTTATTAGAAAAATTGTGACATTGAAGTTCAGGATTTAATCCTCTTTCCTTGCTTTTTTTGAGAATATCAGGTGATCATATTTTGAATTTCCCTGGATACACATTTTCTGTTTACCACCACTCGCATAAACTCAAGCGTAACTTGCAACACTACATGACTCAAATAAAAATATATGCTTTAAACTCTCAAAGCTTAATTTTTGCAGCTGAAGAATAGAAGTAGATTTTTAGTGGTGTAGATTAGTATCATGTACAAATAATGGTGGTTACTTATATGTTTGCTGCAGTGCATTTCTTAGACTGGATGAAGTATTTACTACTACAAGAGCTTAGTTCAACCCTTTAAACAGGCTGTGCCATGTATTCAATATTGTGCCATAAAGTATTTAGTTGATTAACACTATATTAGTAATTAGAGAGCGCCATTTTTCTTTCAGCACCGCTAAGTGAAACACTTTTGCTTCATAATATACAATTGTGGTTGCTTTGGCCTAATGTAAGAGTCTTTCTGACTCTTTGACTTCGTACTTATTTGAGTGTTGAACTTATTTATACTTGAGTCTTATTTTATTCGCACATTAAAGTGCTGTATTATGAACACAACATACTGAAATGATTTCAAGTTGCCTATATTGTTTTTTTTACTATAGAAACCTGTCTATTAGTAAGCAATGACATTAAAGGAATAGTCTGATGCTTTAGAGACTTTGCAAGAATTTTGAGAAGAATGCTACTGCTTAAATTGTTTTAAGATAATTTCATAAAAGTGTTAGCTTACTTTAAGATAAGCACCATAAATGGGGGGAGCAACTAACCTGCCCGGAGGCCGCAACAGACTGAGCTAAGTAACATGTTAAATCTAATTTAGGCTTTTTAATTATTTGAATTGTGAAAATATCATTTATGGATTGTTTATTGTGTTTATACAAGCCTTTGTTTATTCCTTCTTCTTCTTCTCTCAACCCAGAGCTAGTTAATGAATAAACCGAAGAACAAACTTGCACCTCTAAATGCACAGACACAAATCACTTATGTACCTGCATGAAAATATGGGACATTTAATACATTATTTATAGATTATTAAAGTCCTATTATTTAATAAAACAAGTTATTGGGATACGTTCAAGATGAAATCTGATTTTTGTTGTTGCCATCACAGGAAGTTATGATTTGGTTGTGATAGAGAAATGTTGTTTTATAAATTGCCTTGAATGTATGCATGAAGTGGGTTTGATCAGTGAGACGCTCCCTCTGATCTCTGTTTGAAAGATTATACACTTCAGCTTCCTTCTAACTGGCTTTTGAGACCTGACCTGATTTTATGAGAAATGTGTTTGCCCCGATGAGCAGGAGGAAACTGCAGCTGAAAGTCGTCAACTTTCTTTGGTGGCCGCTGAGGCAGACTGCACGAGTGAGTAAATCCCCATAAAGTACCCTGTTTAAAAGACCATTCTTTAGAGTATTAAAAAGTACGTCCGATGCAAAAAAAACATACATATATGTAAACCCATGCACCTAACACTGGTGCTATTGCCATGGTTACCTTAATTGACAGGAGCTAGTTGGTGTATACTTTGCTTCACTTCCACTGATTGGCGTCACTAAACTGGAATCTGTAATTATGCTGCTGGTGATTTTGGAAGCATTTTTAATGGAATTTTCTCGCTAAAAAGGGATTTCACATTTTTACTTGTTCTTTCAAATACAAAATGACTTGATAACATTAATGAGAGATAGGTCTGACAGATTATAGGTGAAAAATAATCACTTTTTGGGAAAACAAGGCACACGGTGAGCCATCAGTGTTAGATGGTGAGAGCAAACTTGTCGGTTGATGTACGGTAAAATTCTCCATTTTCTTTAGTGACTTTAATTTATCAGGACTTTTGTTTTTAATTTGATATTTGCTTATTCTATGTACATCATTAAGTGTATTTTCTTTAATAAACGACAATATAAAAGATCATTTACAGCAATTATAATCATTTAAAACATTTCCATATTTGTACTGGGATAGGTTTTTTGTTAAAGTCGCAGGGAACCACCGGAGCTATGGATTGGTTGCATATTTCCACTGGCTCCCTGTGGCTCTAAGGCAACAAAATCATCGTAACATTGTAATTAAAATGCAAATTTGATTAAAACCAAATAATCATAAATAGCCCACTGCCGAGTAGCAGTGTGGTACAATGTTTTACTTAGCTACATCTATTAGTAGTCCTGATAGTTTCATTAAGGTAATTATTAAGTCTGAAAAATATGCTGATTATTTTTAAATAATAATTGCTCAAAAAAAGTCTGTTTGAATGTACAAGAGACTGGCATATACAGTTGTGTTAAAAATAAACTTTTCACAGGACTTTTTGCAGATACATTTCATGCTTATAGAAGCACCTGAAATCACCTGCTGCAAAACAAACCCAAATTATGACCATAAATGTTGATAAGCTGCGTTTGCTTTTGTGCCAAAGGGGAGATGTTGACCATAATACAGAGGACCAGATTTGGCAAGAACCAAACAGCATATCAGCAAAAAAAAACCCGGACACTAACTGTTAAGCATGGCCATGTGAGGGTGATGGTTGTTTTGCAGGTGATTTCAGGTCCTCCTATAAATGACTGAATCATGGGATGTACTTACTGGTAACCATAGCAAACAAGTCACAGTTGTGGAGTGTTTTTCTAACTGGACTTAATTGTACTTCCTGATCAGCAACCATAACTATTGCTCACTCTCCTGACCATATGTCCTCCGCAGATCTTCATTTTCTAGCTTTAACTGCCAGCTGCAGGTGCTGACTGTGTGGCATTTAGTAGTTCTTAGCAATCCATAAAAAGGACTTGTGCATCCCCCTCGTTTAGTAAATACAGAGTGGAAACGGAGAGCAGAAAAAAGACAACTTTAGCAAGAAAATGTACCTAGCTGCATTTATTATATTTAATCAAAATAAATAAACATTCAATATAACACGGACAAGACTCAGCTCTGTATGCCTGTAACAGAACAAACCTCGAAATAGTGCCTGTTTTTTTTTTTTTTTTTTTTAGTAAACATAACTTGTACGCAACGTACAAAAAATACTGCTCAAAAACGTACAAAATGCAGCAAACAAATATCAAGTATTGTGCAGTTTTCCCAAACACTGTACCAGCTGCTGACATCAGTCACTGCAAGGAAAGCGCCAGAAGCTCCATTAAAAACGAACATCTCGCCAACATCCAGCCAGCGGTTATATGTGAGAGGCAAACAGCTCAGTGGCATAGACCAGTCAATTTTGGTTCAGTGATGTGAGCTAATCGGTGATCTCACAAGGCTCACATCGGAGGTGGAATATATGTTTATATATGTGTGCGATTATTTCCGTAGGCTGCCCTTGAGATCTGATTTAATGCAGTGTTTAAATTGCTTCAGGTTTGAGATAAATACCAGTACAATTTCCCTTAAGGTAAAAACAACATTATTTTGTTTTCCACTGTAACAGCAGCACAAATACCCCCCCGAAAAACATTTGCTTGGTTGTCAGAAGATTTAAAGCATAATCAAAAGAGTAAACACATTCAGGGCCAAATGCAGAAGAACTGCAGTCTGCTCTCCCCTCCCCCTACACAAAGACTGACGCACTTCTCCAAACACACTAAATAGAAAAGAAGACTACCACTTACTAACATCCATTCCACACGGACATAAAAAAAGTCTGTTCGAAGCTCCCTCGTCATAAAAACACATACGAGTAGTAGAAGAGTCCTCTGTATGCGCAGCCTGGATTAATCACAGCAGTCGGGTACTTCTTTGCCAAGCTGAAACACTAAATGTTACAAGACACTGTCAGGTTCATCCCTGCGTGTCTACACTTGCACTTGGTACCAGTAGATTCAGTATTTGGGGTGCTACATAAAAAGAAGTGCTTAATTAAATGTAGGATATCCCCACAAATTAAAACCCTGCAGTGTGACATACAGAATAAAAAGCTAATACAACAGAATGCAATACTTTTGAATATCTGAACCCTCTAATGACATGACAGTCGTCTCCATGCTTATTGGGGCCTGCCCAACAGTAGCAGATGGGACCAGAAATGGTTACAAATGTCCCCCTTTCTCATTTTCTTCGTGCACTCCCTGGTCTCTTGACCTGCCACAGGTGATTGTGGATGGTCAGAGCGTCCACGCTGACCGACACAGTCTTGGCGGGGATGACAGTGAACTGCTTGCGGTCTGAGCTGTACTTGTAGAGCTTGTCGATCATCTTTCGGTTGATGGTGCGCGGTCCTGTGCCTGAAAACTTGATGATCTCCTCAGTGTCCGGAGAGTACGAGTAAATGGCGCGAAACTGGCACCCGCCGTCACGGAAGAGGATGATCAGGTGATTGGACTCGCACTTTTCTAGTTCCTGAAAATTTAAAACTGAATTTTTGAATGTGGTAAAAAGTTAAAAGTACTATGCAAAAGTCTTCAGCTTCCACTTATTTCTTTGTAGTCTGCTGAAATAGCTGCAGCGATTTATTGAAATGTGCAAACATACATGGTAATATAGTCAATATTTGGTATGACCACCTGTTCCACTGTGTTTCACATATTGTTGCATGTCTTTCCTAACCTCCTCCATATATATTAACAACCATTTAAACATTGGGATGATTTTCAGATAAAGTTCATCTGTTGTATATAGTTTTTAAGGCCTACTACTTCTTCTTTTGTCCTCCACTTGTCCACTGCACACCATGCTAAGATAGAACTTTCCAGCTGATAGCTCTTTGGGAATCACCTTATTGTTGGAAAAATGAAATTATTTGCCCAACAAATTGTGTTATCTTTGACATTACATTAACATTAAACTAATCTAAAATTGTGAGCTTGCAATTTAAAACGGGTCCTTAGCTAAGTTGTCTCTTATGTTAGAAAGTCTGGCTTCTTGAAAGGAAAATAGAAAGGAAGGATGGGTGGCTCAAGACTTTTGCATAGTACTGTTTCAATAACACGTTAAAAATTTTTACTATGATATACACAAAGTTCCCAGACAGCTTCATAGGTATTACTGCTGTGTGTTCACTGACCTCAAGAACAACGCTCTTCTGCACTTCATTAACCTTTCCGGCCAGGCAGCAGTGGGCGATGGCATTGATGATGATTGGCTTGTTGGACTTGGAGCTCGGCTCCTTGAAGAGTTTAGGACCTATAGCATATGAACCAAACCAAGAAGATCAGTAAATGACATACAGGTCTCTAACCGTTTAAGGAGTGGTTTAGGTTATAATAGAAAACAGGCCTAACTCCTTTCTTGCTGAGTTACATGGGAATATCAATGCTTCTCTCATATTTTTAAAGCAATTATAAAGCTAGAATAAGGAGCCGATTAGCCTAGCATAGCTTAGCATCAAAACTGAAGGAGGGAGTAGATGCAGTGGCAAACTGCTGTTCAAGCTTGTAGCAAAGTTTGTGAAGTCATGGCTTGAGGTCCAGTGGATATTACAATCTGTGCTTAAGGCTAAGCTAACTGTTTTGTTGGGCCTGGTTATACAGAAGAGCCATCAACCTTTTGACAGTTTCATTGACAAATAGCATAAAAACACATTTATCTAAATGTCTCTTTCATTAAGAATGTGACAAAATAGAAAATTTGTTTTGCACCAATCTTTAAAAATAAATGCTGGTTTTGTGATGATGGAAATAAATCTTTTTTTCAGCATTTCTATTCACCGGTATACTCATTCGAAGTAATGGAAGAGGCTATAGAGACGTTCTCCCAGTCCCGTTCCATGTTCCTGCTGGAGGCCCTGCTTAGGGGGAATGACTCCATAGAGCACACAGATCCAGCCCTAAAAAAATGCACCAAAATCAAATTAGTGCAAAGACACACAACATGGACACAAATTTTCTCTGCTTTTATACAGCCAAACTCTCACCTGTTTGACTCTGCCCCTCCGGAGATAACGCTGTCTGCATCAGTTGCCAAAGAGAGCGTTGATCCTCGATGACTGCAGCTCAGATCGGCTGAAAATGGAGACAGAAGGATTTAGCATCAGCTACTTTCCTTAGCCAAGTGCTGTTTGCCCAGTTTCATGCCTGAACTACTGCACTTTCACAGCAATAATTAAAAAAATAACAATATAGTTAAAA